ATTGCCGGAATCTATTTAGGGTGGTTTAGCTGTTAAAAACTTTGAAGTTCATTACATTAAGCATTACTTTTTTATTTTCTCAGTGCCAGGCCATGATATTGTGCCTGGGGCATCCATATCTGTCTTAAAACCTAATTTTCTCTCATTTTTCAAGTGGACTAAGATATGTTTTGGCTTATTGATTTTCTTTCTGTTAAGTGGCTATCTTTGAAAGATGTGTTCCACTTGCCTTCAAGTGATGGTGTTAACCTCAGACATCAGATGCTACCTACTGCATTTAAAGTATGCAGTGTGGGCACTCTGAACTATTACCATTATTAATGTTACCTTTCAGGTCATCAGTTGGCCACTGTCCCATGCAACCCTACTTCACTCACAGTAAGATTAAACACGCTTTTCTATTGGCAACTGAGAAAATGTCCCAAGGGCAATCCAATTACGATGCCTCAAAACCTTACTATGTTAACTTTCCCTGAAGGCCAGAATCTAAAATTGGGACAGTTTTCCACGGTAGAGCATATGATTTAACAGCTCTTGAATCACCACTTACCATGCGCTTATGTGTCACTTTCAGCATGTATTTCAGTTATTCAGAGTCTCATCTAAGCCATCAAACTCTCACTAAATTGATACAGACAAATCAAGGAAGCGGTGGAGAGTCACTTTAAAAATAGCCGACAAGTGACCAAAAAAAAAAAATTTTCATTGTGTATTTAAGTGTGACTTTAAAGTTAAGTCTTTAATTGTTGTATCTTCTGCTATCCATAGTCTGCTTATGATGAATAATGTAACCATAAAAGAAAACCCTAGGCCTTTTAGAAATTAGATACCAACTCAAATGAAGAATGATCTCTTCCCACACATTAATCATTAAAAACAGAGAAAGTAATAAACCTTTTTCATGCTGGAATATTATTTTCTGGTCTATATCCTAATGAATTACTAAATGAAACACTGTGTTTCTTTTTCTCAAATATTTTTTTTAATTATAGTGTACAATTAGGTGTCATGCAATCATTCAGAATGTGCTTTGAGTAGGAATTAAACATTTGCAGGGCTGGGAAGGTTACTTTTAAAATGTATTTCACTACAGATTACAAAATACATGCTTTAAAAAGTAATCAGTAATGTATTTCGTTAGAGTTTAGTTTTAGGTTTAGTAACTTAATCTAAATACTTTAGAATACTTTGAAATACATAAGCTATGCACAAAGGAACATATTAATGTGTTGTTTTTATGTTTTCCAACTCTTTGCGTTTTCCTTGCATTTTATTTTTAACAACATCAGTTTTCCTCAGCATTTCTATGAACAACAAACATTTTTTGTGTCATTTAAATCTACCAATCAATATAAATTCAATTTGAATACATTGAATGGGATTCCGTGCTGTTTCATGCCGCATTCCAAGCTTCAAAACGAATCCAAACATATCATAAAAGTAGCCAAAACAACTGGCACAGTTCTCCAAGTTATACAATAGATTTGTTTAATGAATGGACCAAACTTTAAGTGATTACTTCACTGATAATCTTCTCTATGGAGAAGCGATTGGCACAAAAGAATCGCTGAGCCAAAATTGACGGGGCTCGTTTCCCAAAGCAACTACGGTCGCAAGTAACTTAATGTTGTTACAGTTCAATGTAATTTAACAAAGTTCGCTAACGATGCTTTTGGGAAACACACCCCAGATCTATCCAGTTTAATGTGAACCATTCACACTGGTTTCGTTAAACAAAATAAATGATTCATTTAAAAGATTGAATCAAAAGAATCATCTGTTCACGAATCGGATCATGAACTCGCATTAACGCGCCAAAGATAATCTATTCTTGAACATTTTGAATGAATAAAGACTTCAAGTTCATCTGTAAAGCACACAATGCTATCATTTGACTTTATAAACTTTTATTTCATGCATGATTCGTATGGATCTGTTAACTGAATGCAAAGTGTGAATTCTAGGAGAATTTCTTAGAAATATTAAACGTAATGATAACACTCAAAATATGAGAAAATAGAAAAACGAGTTATTGGATAAAATTTTTCAAAGATCAAGATGCTTTTTCAGATTAGACGTTGAATCCTTCGATGCTGATAGAAGTTTTGTTGCAGGTAGGCATTGCATTGCGCTGAGATGTTACGTCCTTTTTCAGATTTATAAGTAAAATAGTCTTTGTATTTCCACGAGAGAAATGCATTACGCGAATGGCTTTCTGTTGTGTCGAGACGATGAGCGTATGCACTCTCACTACGAGTTGCTAAATGAACAGGCTGCTGCACGCAGTTTTTTTTATTTTCAACGGAGAATCAGTTGCCTTATTGGTTAAAATCCCCAAACTGTTTACTTAAATATTAAATTAAGAAATGACATTAAAATTCAAAGTAATCACTTTGGTAATCTAAAATACTTTTCGGATGTAACTGTAATTTGATTACCACCTATTTCAAATGTAATTATAACGAAATACAGTTACTCATATTTTGTATTTTAAATACGTAACGCCGTTACATGTATTTCGTTACTCCCCAGCCCTGAACATTTGTAAGTCTGTTTGTTCACCAAAGAATGATGACAGAAGCGTTTTTTTCTTAACACTTTTTTTAAATGCAAGAATTCACTTCAAATCACCAAACTATCACAGTCTGGTTCTTTGTTGTGAACCTGGCTGCTCATCCAATTGTTTGAGATTGATATAGGAGCATTTAGATCAATGTTTTTCAGTGAGGCAACAGTCTTGACTTGCCTCTGACCGTTTTAAATAAAATATTCTGAGCTGTATCAAAATTGTACACACACAATATCAGTTTAATCCCAGAAAATCATCTTGGCTCACCTGCTAATTAAGCCTTGAATACAGTTTAGGATAAACATATGCTAATTTTAGAGAAAAAAGAGGAGCGCTTCAACTGATCCAGCAGAGATGAAACAGTGTAACACGTTCCCTCTTTATCACTCAGTCATAAATGGATTTACAAGTTATTTTAGTTTTTTTTATGCTTAGAGCTCTGAGATTTTAATTTCTCCACACAAATTCTGTACTTGTGCGTGTGAGGTTGGCTCTTGTACTGAGGTGGGTTTGAGCAACATTTCTGTGAAGTGATTAGATATGTCACAAGCTTGTGCTCTCACTTGTAATTGGCTCTGAGGACAAAGGCATGTATTTTCAGGCACAGACTGCTTGAGAAATGCTTGTGTGTCTCTTTCTTGTTAGCTTTCTTCCTTCTGCTCTAGGACACAGAGACTGTCTGTGCCCTGTGGAGCTTTCTTTCTTTCCATGATGTGCACTATATATAACTACCATATCTGTATATGTCATCAATAATGTCAACCAATACAGATATAATTTTTAGATTCATATTAATTATGTACATAATAAATATAAATGTATATATAATTAATTACATTTATATTATTTATATTTATAGAGAATTATTATATTGTAATATATTGAATATTTGTTAATGAGTTAATATGCTGTAAACACTTGAATTTCATGTCAGGATATCATATTAGTCTGTATCCTACTAATGATCAAAATCTGTTGCCAAAATATGTAAGTATAATGTAAAATTGTCAAATGTATCTATAATTAACAGAATTGATCTATTATCAGCCATAACTTGCTGATAATTATCATAGTTGGCCTAGTTTTAATATTGTCGTATCTCCTTTATTTTTTTAATTACACTTTTTGTTTAGTTCAGTAAGTTTGAACAAAGGTCACTAGAAGTTTCACTGCAATTTTCAGTATGCATCGTCCACATAATATTTTGGCTAAACATTTAGTTTGACAGAGAAACAAAGAAATGCTGGTTTGCTGCCAATTTTCTGCGAAAATGCCCATCTGATTCTTCCAAATGACTAGACGTGATATTCTGCTTGTTTCCAAGAGAAAGACACAGTGTCTGCAATTCAATTAATTTGTTAGATTTTTTTTTTTTAGGTAGCACTTTTGAAAAGAAACCAGAATTTTAACTTGAGTTAATCAGTTTGGTGTAGCACAGCATTCAGTGCATGTTTTGTGCTTTATTTCTCTGATTTCTTTTTTCTTCTCAGTCTTTACTCTTTATCTTTCTCACTTTTTCTCTCTCTCTCTCTCCTTTTGTATTGCTGCCAAAAAGAATAATGTTTCAGTCCCACAGGAAAATAGTCTTTGAGTAAACTTTCTCACTGACATTTTGCATTACTCTTCTCAATATCTGGCTCCCCTAAAACAGAACAAACTGATTCCACTATATTAACTCAATATTCATGAGATGATTTGATTTATTATGGGTGATTTTAATTAAAAGATGTATACAAATGCAGTAGAACATATCCCCAGACTAATATATATTGCACAGGCAAAACCTTTAAACAAACCATGAAATACTTCATGTTGCACAGTGGTATATAAGCATCTTCCTGCTGTGCTGTATTGTCTGCCTTAAGCACCAATAGCATTTGTCTGCCACAAGCTGTCACAAATCTCCAGCATCTCTTTCTCTCAGACTAGCGCTGTGACGCAAAATCAATGGAGCCTCTTGGGTCCTTCCATCACCCCAAATATCTGCTGTGAACTGCTGGTTGAAGGTATTCAATAAAAGAGTCCAGTTGCCTGGAGATGAGATTGCAGAATGGGACAGTAGACAATTGACTCTTACTTTAGAAAAATTTCGAGCCCCGGGACGCCCCCGTTGCTTGGAACAAAGCAATAGAGTAAAATCATTCCCCTGCGCTGCGCTGGGTCGGCTTGCAGGAGAGCTCGTGGGTGATTCCCGTTTATATCCAGTGATACATTAATATAGCCCCAGAAATGTAATGCATTTTTGTACTTATTTTACTGTTATTTTCGGGATCTACTGGGACAGTGATAAAGATCTACCAGTCGATCGCGATCGACGGGTTGGCTACCACTGCTTTAGAGCATGTAAGAGCATGCAAGTAGCTAGGTTGGGTTTATAGGTCTGATAGATGGATGAGTGATGTCTTTTTTTGTCTTCTCTGTTATTTGTCAGTCATCCACAGTCGGATGCTGATGGAAGGACTGCAGAGATTCGGTGCCATCCCAACGTATCTTCCGGTCCGATACCAGGTGCTGAACGCAGAGTCAGCCTTCTTCCTGAAGGAGGCCAACCAGGACATTATGAGGAACTCCAGCCTGCAGGTTCGTACGGAACTTTTCTTTATCCAACAGGCCAGAAAGACGCCGTCGGTCAATGCCAGTTACGGGCCGCTGTATGTGGAACAGCCCGTGCCTGCGGAGCTTCTGGGCCCAGGACTCTTCAACAACCCTTCATCCATGTCGCCATCATCCACTTCCTCTCCACTCTTTAGTTTTAACTGGAAAGTGCAGACTTTTATTATCAGTGAGCGAATCCACCCGAGTTGGCCAAAGGTTCAGGTTCTATTCTACGTTGTGGGCCGAAACTGGGACGACTACAGTGCCGTGGACAAGTTGCCGTGTGTCAGGATGTTTGCCTTCCACGAAACCCAAGAGGTACGAGGCACCTGTCGTCTGAAAGGGGAACTCGGACTGTGCGTGGCTGAACTGGAGCCACTGCCTAGCTGGTTCAGTCCCCCTAGTGTCATACCAGGTCGACAGAGATCTCCCGAGCTGGTTGAAGGCACTCCTGTGGAGCTGTATTACATGCTACAATCCACCAACACTGGGGAATGCAGCTCGGAGGACTCCCGCAAGACCAGTTCCATCCGCACTGGGCAACTAGGCCCTGCCGGTTACTTTTTAGGGCCCACACCCATGCGCAGGATCGGCAGCGTGCGCCTATTCCAGCCGCTCTCTGAGCTGCGTTTGGACAGTAATTTTGTGGTGATGGTTCCCTCCAGACCCATCAGACAAAGGGAGACAGTGTCAGCCTTCCTAGCGGTCTCCACCCTTTCATCAGTAGAGATCTTCACTTTAAGGTGAGTGACAAACTCTAGTAATACTTTCATAGTAATACCTTATTTATTCATTAATTTTATTTCAGTTTATGGAAAAGAGCAGATCTGACATTTTGATAATTACTCAAAAGGACATGTGAAAAAGCGCTTTAAGCATTTTTTGTTGACAAATTTGTGATGACATATTTTTTGCCCCCAAAGCTATGCAGCACTGATAATATTTTACCTGCAAATATCATGCAATTTAATTATCAAAAGTAAAACTATTTATGTTTTAGTTTTAGTTTTTGGAAGTTGTATTCAAAATTAACTTGGCACAAAAATATGCCCACTCAGTTTCTAAGGTAGGCTGTATAGATAAATTGACAATTTTATTTTCTGCTTGGCCCTTGAATTTAGATGATTTCATGCTCTCAGATTTCACTGTCGTCAGCACAAACCACGTTTATCTTCACTGCAAGTGATCCCATATATACAGAGTTCCCACAGTCCTGAGATAACTGGTAATTTCAAAAGTGTTATGCCAGGCCTGGAAAAGTCTTGCAAATTAATAAAATCGAAAAAGTTCTTGGAAAATTTAAGGAATTTCTATAGTCTACGTACAATTTTTCTAGTTATTCTTCTGACTAGAAATTAGTTTTTGTACAGCAGCGCTGTTCTTTTTAAGATGACTTTTGAAAACCTTTTGCCATCTTCACAAATGACTGAAAAAGTCAAGAAAAGATTTTGGAAATTAATTTGTTGGGAAGAATGGGACCCTAAATGAAGCCTGGATTGTATTTTCTTTACCCTTGTGTAATTTTGTTTATGGTTTTCAAGGATGAGGGCATGTCATGCAATATGTTGAAATCTGTCTTATTTGACTGGCTTCTACCATGTTTACATCAAAATACCATAATCACACAATCTTTGACATCATCAAAAGATGTGGGAAGTCCCCCCCCCCCCTTTTTTAAAAAACTGATAAATATGCACATTTAGCTGCAATTTATTATTGCGTTTTTTTATATTTCCCCCCCTGCTGTCAAATTAAACAGAACAAACTTAACAGAACAGACCTGCATCTCAGCTGTTTAAAACCACTGCTCTTTAACAATGGGTATTATAAAACCACTGCACCTTCTAGGAGAACATATTTAAAAATCGGACTTGACATTTATTACATAACACCTACGTAGCCCAAAGGCAATTCATGAGATGACTCTTTCAAAACAACTACTAATTAACTCTCAATTAGTAGATTTAACTCTTAATTAGTAGAATACAACTAAATACAAATGAATTATTCAGGGAAGAGCTGTGCAAACTACACAAGATGACCTGTTTGAAATTAATTTTCCTCGCAACCCAGTGTGCAAAAGTGAGAAGATTCTTTATTGATTCATTGAGTGTTGAGCTCTAATTAGAACAAGCGGATTTGATGAAGCGACTAAAGACATTCTGTGCAAGTGAGTAAATGACCGTGAGAGAAATTAATGTTTGTTCCTGTTTGTATTCTCTCAAGCCTGATATCTAAATCATGTTTTGAATTATACTCTGACAACCTTGGCAAATTTGTCAACCTTGGTTAGCATTGGCTTACAGCTCGGCCACTATCTTGTGCGTGATTAACGAACTTTAAATATTCCGGTCTCAATACGAGCCAGTTTTGCTCCTATCTAATTCATTTGCGAATAGTGGGTGTTTACTAGAACAATGAATGAAGCTTAGCATTCAGAAATAAAAAGCTCAGAAATGAATTGCCTTTTATGTAGACAGAAATAAAGAAGCTCCTGGCAGATGCGTTGTTTTTGGAAATGTTCTCCAAGGGTGCTCTAACATTAGAAACAGCAGTTTCTAATAGAGTTATAAGGCCAGCTTTAATTAATGCAGAAAGAAAGAGTTTAGTCCTCAATAGCAAGTCAATTTGTGATGTCTTGGGTGACGTGGTGCTGTGGGAAACTGTTCAGTGATTTTGATTCCTCTGTAGTTCCTCCTGTGTTCATACAGACTGGTGATAAGATCTTATAAAAGGGTTTGTTTTTTTTCTTCGCTTTTTGCCTTTCCTCTACTTGATACCTAAATGTCTTTGTGATGGCTCCATGTCCCCTCAACCCCTGGAGATAGGCACAGCTCTGTTCTTGGCTTGGGCTACGCTCCAAGTTCCAACCAAACAGTTTTTTTAAATAGTGACCAGCTGAGCTCTGCTGATAGGGCTGTTTCTCTAGGGTCCCTGGCTGTTGATGTGTCGTGTAGTTGTGTAGGTGCTTGAGGGGGAGGGGAAGAGGTTACGTTGGGCAGCAACACAATGTTCAAATTGGTCGCTGGTGCTGTTGGAGCCAGATCTGCTCATCTAATCAACAGCCTAGGGATAAAAATGCTCCCTGATCAGCTTTTCCCTGCCTAACACAATCAGGGTAAAACAGAATAGCTCCTGAGAATCCCATCTGACCGCCAAACTTCCTACAGCATGATGTGCAAATGAATACACCGTATACAGCACGTACTGTGTGACCTGTAGGACTGAGAAGTGTTTTTTGCAGCGTGTATGGATGAAAGAATTTACATGCATGGGTGAACTGCTGCTGCAAATAATTGGCAAATGTAAATCTACAAATAAATGAATTAATACATTTGTTGAAATAAATACATTTCAGTCAGGAGCACTTTCGTCAAATGTATATTTATTATAATAAAGCATACAGATAGTGTTGGCGGTATGGTTCTGTTCTGGGCAAACTCCACATGTTTTGTAGCGAGCAATTTTTTTTAAACAAGATTTTTAGATTAAAACCACCAACCGATATTTTTAATCTTTCCCTGAGAATAGAACTCGTGACTATAAGATTATATCATGATGATCACACTCTTAAATGTATTATTTTAATTCTTGGGTCAGTGTCGTGTATTTGGAGCTTGCACTTCCTTGCTTTTTGCCTCATTAGTGGTTTAGAGAGCAGTTGAGAACATGCTGAGAAGGGATTTACACCTGATTCATAATGCAAATGGAAACACGCTTTCCTCACGAACAAATTAACAACCTCTCAAAAGATAAATAGCCCCTGCTGTATTGTAATTTTGACTTAACAATCTTACACGTTTCTGCATGTCCCAGTAGAAAATATGCTAATACATGCAAATGAGTAATCGTTCCTTATGGACCATTTCTTATTTTCCTATAGCATAGATATTTTTCCTCATCCAATTTTAGTTCAATTGCATACACAACGTTCTGATGGGTACAAATGACCAAAAGTTGATTGGCTCTGTCATTTGACTGGTCCATAAACATGAATCTGCTCGTCTTGAATTTGAAGGTGTGTCAAATAAATGAATGACGGTGAATATTATTATTGCATTTCACTTTAATAGCCCTGTGGTCACATTATTTATTGACTTCCTTTTTGATTAAGCAAAAGGTTTATGTTTAAATAGCTGATTTAAAGGCCACCCATAATGCATTTTTCACACTTGTACTCAAGTACAGCAATTCTGTAGGTCCCATGTCCTCTGGTTAATAATCCTTTCACTTTAATATGGCTTACTGTGGGTATAGAACACTTTTATGCATATATTAATCATGTTCTGATATAATATATTTGTTCTTAAAGAGAGTTGAAGTTCATCCAAATATGAATATTCCGTCATCATTTGTTTATTTTTGAAGTTGTTTCAAACTAATACAGTATGACTTTCTCTTTTTGTGTGGAACACCAAAGCTCTTCCACATAAATTGTCCATGCTATGATTGCACCAGTATAAATGTTCTGGCTGATACAGATAATTATTTTTGTTATGGCTGATAGTAAATTCTGCTCTTGTCTAAATAAATAAAAAATGAGACACTAAAAAGTAAAATCTGTTGTTTTGCTACAAATTTGTATTATAATGTACAGTACAGTGAAAAATGGATTTTAATTTTGAGAAATGTTTCTCAAAGATTACATTTAATACTGTTTTTAAAGGCCTTTATCTCTAAAGGTGTTAGATATCTAAATGTAAAAGAGTGTAATTGTCCAATATTGAACAATACGTTAACTGATATGGTCCCGATCTATTGTGCATCCCCATTACAAGCTGCTCTTTTCTGTACGGTGAACGTCAATGGTGACCGTGGCTCTCCTTGGTCCCCATTCACCTTCATTGTATGGATAAAATATGTGTTTCTTTCTGATGTTCCTGAAATGGTATTTCTTTCATCCACTGTTTGGCTCTCTCTCTCTCACAGATTGTTCTGTGCATTTATTTCCCATGTCCCCTTAGAGCAAGGGCTAAGAATTGGCCTTTTCACCGATGTATTGGAGGCTGCAAGAGCCATTGAACTTGATTAGTTGCCATCACAGTTTACAGAGCGATTCCTCACAATTTCCTTCTGCCCCTCCAGGGTCACTGGCACGTGTTTACTTTGAAGGCACAGACTCTCTTCATCTGGCCATTAATAAGTAATTAGTGATTTGTGCACAGGGGAAACTTATTTGCTCTCAAGCTCTTGCTTGATTTGCTTGCCACACAGACTCCCTCCACAAAGCAATCAGAGGCTGCCCGCAGTGAATGATCTTAGTGCGCACATTTCTTGGTAATGATTTTTAATGCATCCCCACCCATGAATTTCTCAACCTTTCAGCACGGTGGCTGTCATTATTTGACTGAAGGCACCGGATGATTCTTTTTCTTTAATTATTATTCACTTCGCCTGTTTTGCACAGACCCGAGGGGTCCTGGGAGGAATGGGTGCTTTCACCTCTCTCTGATGTGTGGTAGTTTGTTAATCTAAACTATGATAAGAATGATTAACATTACTGTAAGTGTTGTGGATGGTCAGCGCTGTGCTCAGATGTTTCTCATTTTTCCTCCCTGCAGTTCACAGCAGGCCGCCACTGTCGAGTAAATCTGTTTGTTTTCTGACTTGAAGAACCAGACTTGTTCCCAGAGAGAAATTCTTGTCCATGATAGTGGTATATGAAGTTTGCTGGCTTTGAACTTTGTTGTAAAAGACAGAATGAAGTCGCCTGTTTTCTTTTCTTCTTTTGAATGCATTTTTA